CTTCTATATCATGGTTCAAACGCGACAATACGGTATAGTTCTTTATCCTTTAAAAAATTGAATTCAATCCCTTTAAAACCCGTGATGATCCCGGATAGTTCTGATCTCTTAAAAAATTACGACATATACAATAAAACTTGCACAATTTGAGTTTTTTAATCATTAGGGCAATTCACTAATTTGAAATTATGGGTCTAAATAAAATTCTTGTTAACTAATACTGGAAAATAAAATGTTTTGATTGTGAGACTCTCTAAGCTTGGCAAACCGTGATCCCGACGATATCCAAATTAGACAGATCATACAGTTTATCCTTATAAAAATATATGTTACCGTCAATGTGTTTTTTCCGGTAATATGAATTATATTAAATTTAGATGTTCATGTTCATGACAAAACTATCTGAAATTCATATGGTAGGTATTTCAAACATGTTGGACTATATTTTTTTTTCGGTAAAATTAGATTTTTAAATTTAAAAAAGGCACTCAAAAAATGATTTAGAGTTGAAAAAATAAAACATTGCCGGAGAGAACACATTGCCGCTAATATATATTTATTTATTAATTAGAAATACTCAATTATATAATTACAATTATTGCTCAGAAACTGGAAGTGTTTATCAACAATCATTTTTTTATATTTCTAAATTTTGATCAATTTACTAATCATTCTATTGGTGTAACTAGTATTTAATTTAATAATTATTATGCAAATATAAGTATAATAATTTTTTTTTGATAAATTAATCAAATATACCGCAATCACATGTTTGACAACCTCGTTCATCAAATTTATAACCTTAGGACAAGGCTTGCACTTTCTCAGGGGACATACTAAATATTATTTTATATCACCAATTAATAATATAATAAATTACAATAAATTCAATAGGTAGAGTAGTAACATTTCGGCAAAAATAAAATAAGAGTTGCAGTAAAACTTTTCTAATTTTGGCTCTTGATAATTCGGTCAACAACCTAATTTTACCAAAATTTGTCTCAATCAATTTCCTATTAACTACTATATATTAGCAAATGACCTGATAGATCACTATCTATTGGACAAAAATCTTGTCCTAGAGGTACCCAAATTAAAGAGGTTTATACTGTATATATAAGAAAAAATTTGCTTACTGCATTGACAAGTTGGGCAGCCGTATTTATCCATTTCAACTCCATTTTGGCAAGGAAAAGGACAAGGGGGTGGGAAACAAACTAAAAATATATATATTCGGATATAATTATTATCAAAATATTGTATATTACCTTATTATATGATAAATAGTTATACCGTAAAACTTGCCTAATTTGAGCTCTTAATAATTAGGGCAATTCACTAATATGACCAAAATTTTATATTTCAATAAAATTCTTATTAATTAATATTAGAAAATAAAAAGTTTTTAATAAATTAGGAAACTGTTCAAAGAAATAATCAAGACCTTTATGGTGTCCATGCTAAACAAGTTTTACTATATTTTATATTATACCATTCAAAAAATTGTTTGCAAACTAAATATGGTATATTTTTTTTATAAAAAGAAAGATAAACAAATTGTGTAATAAAGTTTATTTTTAGCCATTTTAGCCGATTATAAGCTGGCTAAAACTTAAAACGTTTTTATTTATTATTTTTTGTTTTGAGAAAAATATATACTATAAAATTTTATGAAATTTATGGGAATTTAATGCTCAATATCTAAGCTAACAAATAAACTTTACGGTAATAGATTTGAAAGATGTATATTTACAATTACCAATCAAAGAGAGTTCAAAAGAATACTTAAACATATTAACCCATATTGGTTATTTCCAATATCAATGTATGCCTTTCGGTCTTTCTAGTGCGTCGACCATTTTCCAAAGATATATGGATAATTTATTACAAGACTGCCAAATGACCGGAGTATATCTTGACGATATTATCAAAACGGGTAAAAAAGGTGTAAAACATTTGAATAACATAAGGTATTAATGAAATTAAAACAGGTGGGTATGAAGGCAAAATGGGCCAAAATACGCCTTTTAAATGAATCAGTTTCTTTTCTAGGTTTTGTAATAGACAAAATGATACACCCAGGGAAAGAAAAAATAGATGCTATTCGAAGGATACCAACTTCTAATAATATACACCAATTACGATCTTTTTTATGACTTATGAATTATCACGAAAGATTTTTGCCACATTTGCATATAATTGCCGCTCCACGGCATAAATTAACATGCATTAAATATTGCTGGGGTTGGTCGGACAGGGAACAAGAGGTATTTGATAAAATAAAACAGCTTTTGTCAACAAATAAAACGCTAATTCCATATTGCCAAACTTGCCAATTATATTAAAATGTGTCCCTCCACTGTTTTGGAGCTGTGTTGTGTCATTTAGTAAAAAAAGGTATTAGCAGACCTATCGCATTTGCCTCGCGAACCGTATTAGAGTCAGAGAAAAATTATTCACCAATAGAAAAAGAGGCACGAGCACTTTTGTTTGGAATGGAAAAATTTCATATTTTCATATTTAGTCGAAAATTTATATTGCGAACAGATCACAAACCTTTAGAAAAATCATTTGGTGATAAACGGGAACTACCAAAAATATCCAATAGTCGATTAACGCGTTTTACTTGGAAAATGTCCGCATATGTTGTGAATATGTTTCAGGAAAAGAAAAGCTGATACTTTATCTAGGCTTCCAGTAGAAGACATAGAATCAAATAACGAAGAAAAACATGCGTTAGAGCGATAAATTTGCACGATAAAAATATTAGTCAAGTTGAACTCCAAAAGGAGACAAGGGATGGTACATTGAAGGTGGATGGGTGGATTTTGATGCGAAAAAAGATGCAGATAGTTTGTTTTTAAAATCGGAATTGTCAGTAGATCATGATGTTATTGAATGGAATGGTAAGTTGGTAATTCTAACCGTTTTGAGGAAATCAATATTAACGATTATACACAGAGGGCATCCAGGAATAAATGCTATGAAATCAATTTTTAGTATGCATTGTTGGTGGCCTAATTGCGATAAAGACATTGGTCAGATAATAGACTTCATTTTATTTCAATAGAATTTCGAAAATTTTGTTCCGAGAAAAATATTAAGTTGATACATACAAAACCGTACCATCCAAAAACGAACGGTTTAGCGGAAAGAACAATACGAACCCTCAAGAGTCGATATTTTGCAACTAGGAAAGACATCAGGGAGCCTGAGGAAGATATGGGAGAAGTTTTGATAGCATATAGCAGTGGCGTATCCAGGATTTTCTTATGGGGGGGGGGGATTTTTTGGGGGGCCTTGCCCACAAATTCCCTTAGCTGTACTTTGACCAGCTTTTGTCCGGCCTTCGGACGGGTCTTATGTTTTAGCTTTTCTATTCATTCATAATTTAATATAATTATATATCTATTTTAAACTTTTATTTACTAATTTGTGCATATCGATATTACAAGCCTATTTTTTATTATATATTTAATAAAGTTTTTTTAAATTATAATTTAAAATATAATGTCATTTTATTTTAAAATTTACTTTAAAAACTAACCTCAGCTTAAATTCTCATACAATATAAGTAGAATAAATTTTTTTTATTGTGCACAGTGTATAATTGACTGGAAAATAATTTAAAAAGCAAGTTTTTATAAGATCTATCAAATACAATATTATCAAAAGATTTATTAAAAACTATAACTATAATGTAATTTTTAATTTTCGTGTGGATGTTGCCAATTTATCTAGAATTTCGTTCGTCGTTGGAACTAAATCTATGAATTTTCTTTCTTTTTTTCTTTCTTTCTTTTGAAGAGAAAAGAAGAGAAGAGAAGAGAAGAGAAGAGAAGAGAAGAGAAGAGAAGAGAAGAGAAGAGAAGAGAAGAGAAGAGAAGAGAAGAGAAGAGAAGAGAAGAGAAGAGAAGAGAAGAGAAGAGAAGAGAAGAGAAGAGAAGAGAAGAGAAGAGAAGAGAAGAGAAGAGAAGAGAAAATAGCTAATCCATTTAGCCGAGATTCTGAAATAGTACTTAATAAAAATGTCTTCAGCCTTCTCAAGTTTGAAAATGTCCTTTCATTCGTGCATGTTGTAATAGGCAAACATGCAAGAATATAAAATAACTTCAAAATATCGGGAAATTGAGCCAACATGCTCAGACATATTTAAATTTTGTGTATTTACTGTTCTAAAGAAAAATGAAAAATAATAAATTAGATATTTATTAATAATTAAAATATTATTAAAATAAATTCTAACTCACTAACTAATAATTTTTAATTTCATAAAATAAATATATTTAATAATAAATTATATACCGTTTTGACTAAAAATTTCTCCATTTTTATTAATATTTTTGAATAATGTTAATGTACTCACAAGGAAAGGAAATTTTAAGAAAATTTATTTATAAAAAATAAGTTTTATGTTGGAAATATGATATTCAAATGTTAGTAAAATTTTAATTGGAGGGGGAGGGGGGGTGGGAGGGGGGAGTAAATTTTTTATTAGCTTAAAATGATATTTATGAAAACAGACAAATTTGTGATGGGGGGGGATTTCCCCCTTTCCCCTCCATTGGTTACGCGCCTGGCATATATAATGGATGAACATCAATCAACTAGACGTTCACCAGCAAAGTTATTATTGGGGTGAAATTTAAAAACGGATCAAATTGGTTACATTTAAATGTTAGGGATGAAATGGAACGATCGAATATACGACAAAAGGCAGCACATGATGAATAATTTCAAATGAGGGAATTTGAGATTGCACAACCGATATAGGTGAATAATAAAATAAATTCAGGTTGGAGAGAAGGAGTTATAAAATCCAGAACTGATATATTAAGACAAATCAATACTTTTAATCTAAAGATATTTAAATTTTATTTTTTGCCGATCTACCGATTGAATTGTTAGTAATTTATTATAATTATTAATTGATGTTATAAAATAAAATTTAGTATGTCCCCTAAGAAAGTGCAAGCCATGTCCTATTGGTTACAAATTTGAACAAGGTTGTCAAACATGTGATTGCGGTATATTTGATTAAATTCTCAAAAAAATATTACTCATTAATAATTAATAAATTTCATACTTATTACCAAAATCCAGAAATGAGTAATAAAAGTTTTGGCCAAAATCTAGAAATAAAAAAAATATTGCTGATTAACACCTTCAGTTTCTGGGCAAAAATTCCAATTTGATAATTAAGTATCTTTAATTAATAAATAATGGCGGCAATGTTATTTTTCCGTCTGTTTTAGTTTTCCAACTTTAAATCATTTTTGAGTGCGTTATTTTATATTTTCAATTCTGAATTAATCAGAGATATATTGTATCTTGGAATACTTTCTATGAATTTCATACATTTTTGACAAAAAAATTTGAAATATATATAATTTATATTAGTTTTTCCCTTTTTATATAAATTATAAATGACTTTTAATTTAATTATAAAATTATCTACAATTCACTTGGAATACATTTCCAGTAAAATCAGATTTTTTAATTAAAACAACAGCGAAAATAAATCAAAGGTGAAAAAATAACACATTTCCGGAAAAACACATTGACGTTAACATATATATTATTATAAACTGTATAACCTGTCTAATTTTTGATATTTTTTTATATACAGTAAATGCTCTCTAATATGGGTACCGTAGGACCAAGATTGTCCAAATTTGATAGCAATTTATCTCATCATTTTATATATATAGTAGTTAATAAAAAATTAATTGGGACTACAAATTAGTAAGATTAGTTTGTTGACTGAATTATCAAGAGCCAAAATCAGACATGTTTCATCATCCAAGGATGTTTTTATCACCTAACTCATTCCAATAGGAAGATTCAAGAATTGGGGTTAGAATCATCATATCGGAATGATGCAACGTTATGTTTATTTGCAGCTATGATCGATGGATTAGCATTCTTACCTATACACGATGTCATACGAGGTATGGAGTATTTAAAAACCATTGTATCGGATGAATACAGAATTATTGATTTATTTTGATTAAAATTATGTGAATGGAGAATTGAGATATGGGAGAAACTTCAAAGGCAAGTAGAGCCATTGTTCCCACCTAAAACATGGAATGTGTTCAACGTTACGATTGCTGGGGAAAATCGAACAAATGTATGTGAAGGATGGAATAATCGATTTCAGCATATTATAGGCCACAAAAAATTTAAGATATGGGAACTAATCAATAAAATGAGGATGGAAATAGCCCTCAACATGGGCAAAATCAGCCAATGGAGTATTGGGACATACACTCCCCAAAAAATCGTCGTTATGCAACGAAACAAAATATTTTAAAAAATTTATATATTGAAGATTTATTTATGAGTAACAGTTTTTTGAAAATTTTATCAAATATATAGCAATCACATGTTTGACAACCTTTTTTATCAAATTTTTAACCGTTAGGACATGGCTTGCACTTTTTCAGGGGACATACTAAATATTATTTTATATCACCAATTAAATAATAAATATCAATACACAATCGGTAGAGTTGTACATTTCGGGAAAAAATAACAGTATCTACCTAAAAGTTGAAAAAATATAGAAATTATTGTATAGGTTTTATTTAATATTTATGTCTTTATCAATTTTCATTAATTACTAGATGTGGGTGCTTTATCATACAATCATAAAAAACCCGTTTAAAATATTTCTAAAAACAACAGAAAAAGGAAAATAGAATTAAAAAAAATTTCAAGGTCTACGAAATACATTTTAAAATCAAGGTCCTAACATATCTAGATAGTATATAGATGTAATTAAATCGTAAAAAAAAACCTACAGTATCGACTATTGATTGCGGACTTTTCAAAATTCATATAAATTGTTATAGGATCGACTAAATTCCGTTCTTGGGCTTTTATAAAATCTTAAAAATTTATACGTTGTATACGTTTATCTTTGTAACAAAAAATATGCCGCTGTAATAAATAGTGTTTTAATTCTAATTACATATAACTTCAGAGAAACCTTTTTATTTGTAAGAATAGACGACATCTCTCTGAACTTCTTTCAAGCTTGTCTGATCCTTGCAACAACGGCAGAATCTACACCACCATGTGCGTTTAGCATATCACCTAAATAACAAAATTTATCCACTTTTTCTAGGGTTCACCCATTGCCAAATCCAGACCACCATAGGTTATCATTATTATGTATCCCTTTCATGCATGTTCTACAAATAAAGGTCATTCTTTCTAACATCAATCTGCCTTTTTTCCGCTACATCTTTTATGTACCCATTTCTGGCATCTGGTGCATTGGATAGAATTTCTAGCAACTTTTTTCCCACATACACCACAAGGCCACTTACCGGATTCCTCCATCTTTAGATTTTCCCCACCAATCATCACCTTAGTTTTTGATGCATTCATTTTCAGGCCCTTTGCTTCTATAGTCATCTTCCATTTACTAACTTTATCCCTCAATTCTCCCTCACTGTTTGCCATTAACACAAGGTCATATGCATATAATATCTCCCAGGGAAGTCCTTCACGCATTTCTCTAGCCACCACATCCATTACTAAGATAAATAATAATGGACTCAGCACGGATCCTTGATGAAGTCCTACCTTCACCTCAAAGCTGTCACTATCACCATAATCCGTCCGTACTGCTGTTTGTGCTCCAACATACATTGCCATCACTGCGGTAACCAACCATTCTTCCACACCTGATTATCTCAAGGCCCATCTAGTAATCTCATGCGGCACCCTATCAAATGCTTTCTCCAAATCAACAAACGCATAATAGAGTTACTTTTCCTTAGCAAGATACTTCTCCTGAATTTGTCTCACCACAAAAATTGCATCTGTCGTGCCTTTTCCCGATGTAAAACCAAACTGCATTTCATCAATTTTAATTTTTTCCCTTAACCGCTTCTCTAACACTCTCTCAAATACTTTCATTGCATGTTCCAAGAGTTTCTGTAAGACCCGCAATCTAAAGGATCACCTTTTCCCTTGTATACTGGGATAATTATACTTCTTCTCCAGTCCTCGGGAATAGTTCCTTTTGTGACAATATGATTGGCTAAATTCATTAACCATTCAATCCATAAATCATAAGAACCTTTAAACATCTCTGATACCACCATCGTTAAATCCGATGCCTTCCCTTTTTACATCTTTTTCACTGCTCTCTTTATCTCGTCCTTGCCAAATTTACACTCTGGGCCTTCTATCTTTGCACGATTAACATTATTATCCCATTCATTTTCTTCATTCAAAAGTCCTTTCATGTAAATCTTCCAGGTGTTCTTAATACCACTACTATCAATCACCATTTTTCCTTCCATATTTTTCAAACACTTTACACCTATCACATTCTGCCTCTTTTTTGACATCTGCTTTGACACTCGAACCATATTATTCCATTTCTTTAGCAAACTCGTGTCTTTTTTCTTCTTGAGCCATCGCTATAAATTTCTTAGCATTTCTTTTAGCCATCTTGTAAATATCGTTATCACTATTTTCTTTGCTATTATACCATACTTTGAAACACCTCCGTTTCTCATCCACGGATTTCGCTACCTCCGGGTTCCACCACCAAGTCTCCTATGTCTAGGCGGCCCTTTTGTCCATCCATATACCTCCTCAGTTGTCATTACCCAGGCTTTCTTCATGGCTTCCCACTTGTCATTCACCCCATATGCTTGTGCCACCTCCGCCTCCCTAATCGCCAAAGCCATATTGAATTGACGTCTAGCACTCTCCTTCTTCAATTTCCAAACCTTCAGCCTTGGGACAAACTTTCTTTTAGTGACCCTGGCACCTTTGAGAGTGAGATCTCCTACAACTAGTGGATGCTGATTTATATATTCCTCTCCCGGTATCACTTTCACATTTTTTACTATATATCGATCACATCTCCTTAATAACAAGTAATCCACTGCACTTTTGGTACTACCCGACTTATAAGTCACGCTTCTCTGATTCTTTCTTAAACATTGTATTACAGACAATCATATCCATAGCATCACTAAAATCTAGAATTCTCTCTCCTTACAAATTTCTCATAATGCCGTAACTAAACCCTCCATGTACTCCTTCATAACCCTTACTACTCGCTCCCACATGTCCATTCAGATCACCAACCAGGATAATCCCCTCTTCATTTGCCAGTGTATGTCACCCCCAATAGACTGTCCCAAAATATATCTTTCTCTTCTTCACTTCTTCCAACCTGAGGAACATATGCCGAGATAATATTATATAGCTTTCTACCAATAATCATCTTGATAACCATTATCTGGAATGATTATTATCCTCTGGATTAGCCGGTCTAGATGTTGGGGGTCAGGATTATTTTTACATAAAACATTCACTCTTGGTTTTAATGAGTTGGACTTGATTCAGAGGGAGGGGAATAATAAAAATTTGATAAGTGTATCAAATGAAAGATAATCATGCTATATTTTGATTGTGATGATAATTAACGCTCATACTGGGCGGATCTAAGTATTGAAGGCGGGTGGAGTAAAAGTGTATAGTAAAGTTTAAAAAAATTCGATCAAACTTAGAAATATATTTGAAGATAACAAAGTCTGTTTTGTTTAATATATTCTTTAATAAAATAAAAAATTTTGTTTAGAAATATTAATGACGCCTTTTAAAATAATGATTATTTTTAAAATGCGACGTTTTTTTTAATGCTATCAAGGTATATAAGTTATATAAAAAATGCAACTTATAGGGAAAAAAAGTGTCAATATCTGGAGATATGGAAGAACTCTCTGACTAAGTTTATAATTTAAATACTACACTTACTTGAGTTGAGGCTTGGGAAGTCATTTTCCCTGATTGTAATTTTATTTCGTCCAATTTTTTTATTTTTAGAATGGCAAAATGTGACGATCAAATTTATTTTTAATGAATTATGTATTAATGATTTTTATAAAGTTTTTATTTATTATATTTTTGTCTATAATATACAAAGTTTTTAATTTTTATTTTATATTTAGTTTATCATATCAATTGAGTCATATTTTTTAAATAAAATTAATGAAAATTGATCATCTGATGCCAATATGAAGCCCATTAAATATTTAATAGAATATATGTATGAACAGCCTCGTAGCCATGAGGAGGGGGGGGGGGTTACATAGCATCCAAATTTGTATTTAATGACTTATAAAACAAAAAATAATTAGCCGAATTAAACTTTGCCCCACCCTCTCCATCCACTGACGCTTCCTGTACACGGGCTTGTGCATGCAAATTAATTGCCAAAATATTCGACTGTCATAAATTGAGGTTTGGACTTTAAAACCTTCTTTTTATAATTTACCATGAAAAATTAAGTTTAACAAAACCATAGTATTAATTTATAATACTATATAATACCTCAGGCCATTTACAAAATAATTAATTAATATAAAAGATGTTTTAATAGGTTTTGGAAAATCGTCATTATATGTTTCTAATTGTTTCCAATTGTAATTTAATTTTATATTCAGAATATTATATCATTTTTAAAATAAACAATATTGCAAAATATGAAGTATTCATTTTATTTAGTTTAAAGTTCTCATTAATGATTTCTTCTCGAAAAATGATGATGATATTTCTAATATTCTGCCCCATTCTTTCGAGCTACCTTTGTCAACACTACACAACAATAAAACAACCTATAGGTAAATGTGTAATTCCTAAATTTTGTCATATTGATAAACAACACAATTTTATCTTGACCCGTGAATAGGCTAAATTAGGTCCGCTTTGACTAGGGTGAAAAAAGACCTTGAATTCTACTAGGCGTTGGGCTAGCCCCTGGTCCGTAGCAAGTAATTTGTGTTTTAGGAGAGGGTGCGACTGTTTATTGAGGAGTGGGCATAATTTTTGAATAAAACAAATAGTAGGATACTCCTAAAAAAAAATTGATATCTTCCACGCGCATTCAAGCTAACTGTAAATTTATTAATTCTTTTTATACTATAAAAATAAATGTTAATCCTTTATTCATGCCAATTCCTATATAATTTAATTGTTAAAGCATATTATTCGATTCTTATATTCATTTTTAGTGTTTAGTCTTAATTTACCCTTAAACTAAGGGGAGTTAAGAAAAATAATAGAGATAATAAGTAGTTAGATCCAATAATTTTGGTAGCTAATCTTTGTAAAAAGAGGGAGAGATTCCTTTTCTCTAACCTTAAAAACATGGCTCTGGCTGACAATTAATTTGAAGAAAAGTAATCTTATATCAATTATATTAATTTTTTTCAAAAAATAATTAGAATTTTGTTTAAAGCAGCCCACTCAAGTTGAAAAGGTTCAGATTCTTATGCACATAAAACATCACCTAAATCATATTTATTGCTAATATGAATCTAGTAATAGGAAATGAAGAAAAAATATATTAGGATGATTATTTTTTTAAGTAGCAATCTTAATCAATATAATATGATGTTATTAATATTTTAAATACTATTATTTCGTAACTGTTTTTAACACTAGCGTCGGCGTAGTAAAATAGCCATCGGTGGAGGATTAGCGCGGCGACGCACTTCTATATATTATTCAATTGATGATAAATTTATATTTGTTGTATGAAAATCCTTTAATCATTGAGTCATAAGTTCATTTATTTGGTTTCTATAAAGTGAAATATATTTTTTAAAAAAATGTTGAAAACGAAAATTATATTTTTCGTTTAGAAACAAGGTTTTCACAATTCTTTGGCCAGCTATCTAAAATGGCTACAAATAGAGCTTATTCCCCCTATCTTTTTTACCTATCTTTCATATAGAAAATTATGGCACATTTTTTTTTGATATTATGTTTTAAAACCGAATGTTTCCAAGCGCAAATTTTTTTTTTGATGTCGGCAATATGTTATTTTTACAACTTTAAATCATTTTTTGAGCTCGTTTTTTTAAATATATTCTATTATGTTTGGAACGCTTATCTTATGAATTGTAGACAATTTTTTCTGTTAACCTTTGAGTCATTTATAATTTATATAAAAAATATATAAATATTTTAATATATATTATATTAAGCTTAAAAGTTCATGGTAAAATTGTCTGAAATTCACTGATGATGGTATACATTTCCGGTAAAATAAGATTTTAAAATTTTTAAAAACGTGCTCAAAAAATGATTTAAAGTTAAAAAAAATAACATATTGACGGAAAAAACACATTGACGCTAACATATACATTATAAACTGTATAACCTATCTTATTTGGCGTCGGGGCCAAGTGATTTTACAAAAACTTAGACAGTTTGACAATTTATCAAAACATTTTACTTTCCAATAGTAGTTAACAAGAATTTTATTTAGTCCTATATAGTCAAATTATTAAATTGCCCAAATTATTAAGAGCCCAAATTAGGTAGGCAGAAATAAAAAAACGAATCATTTTCAGGTATATATTTTTAGTTTGTTCCCCTCCCCCTCCCCTTGTTCTTTTCCTTGGGAAAATGGCAGTGATAAAATATTTTTTATAAATCGTCACCTGATAAATAGATTTTTTCATCTCCACTTTTTATAATTCTACAGGAGAGTTAAAATTTAAGTTTCTTCACTATGATGGTCTAACTTTATACAGACTATGATTTAACTTATTTTATAAATATTTCGGAATTTTTATTTAAATAGAATAGTATAACTAAAAAATGGATTTATGTAATAAAAAAATTCATTTTTTACAAAAAGTGGATAAGGAATGAATAACCTAATTATTAGGCGACTATATTTAGCACTCGTATTTTGTTTTTTGCTGAAATGTTGCTTTTATTGATTTTGTTTGGTAATATATTTTATTTCCAATTCTTATACAGAATGTCCTCTGAGGAAATGCACGGTATGTCCATATAGTTACCAATTTGATGAGCAGGGTTGTCAAACATGTGATTGCTGTAAATATTTTGATAAAATACTTTTTTGAATTAAACAATGTAAAATAGCATTCGGGATAATTTGGCGTCATAGCCTACATCTCTCTTTTGTTAGAACTCCTATTTGAAATATAGTCTTAAAATATATTATTGATTTAAACTGATAATTATACTTTGTTTTCTTTTAGCTTTGATCACACCCAGATGTTCTAACAGATGCGACAATGGATTTGAAAGAGACAAGTATGGTTGTGCAACTAGAACTCCTATTTAAAATATAGTCTTAAAATATATATTATTGATTTAAACTGATAATTATACTTTGTTTTCTTTAGCTTTGATCACACCCAGATGTTCTAACAGATGCGACAATGGATTTGAAAGAGACAAGTATAGTTGTGCAACTTGTAAATGCAGTTAAGCAAAATATTTGATGTATATTTGGAATTTTCTATTATTTTTGCCCAAAATACTGTTTTATGGACCGATTTAATATTTATATGAGTTGTTTTTTTATAGAAAATTGTGAAATGCCAAAATTTGACAAAAAAATTTTTTTTCCTTCTGACAATATCTTCTTCCAATGATTGAACGTTACTTGATTGTCACACTTCCTTAATTCTTCTTCCTAGTTTATTAAATATCCCAAAGGACTTTATAAACTCGAGTTCAACCCAATTAAACTTGTGTTATCCAAACAAACTCCTGCCAGATCCTACTAACTTTAGTCTGATTCAAATAAACTCAGGTCTGGCTCGGTAAACTCGAATAAAGAGGTTTGGACAAATATTCTGTTTGACTCGAATCGTATCGCATCTTGATTTTTCAATTTTAATTTCAGCAGGAGCGGGACCTCGACAAAATTTTAAAATATTTTTTTTCAATAACAATTTTCTTCCAGTGCCCGTATTTTTCGTATTCAAACATACCTTTTAAAGATGATTGGGTCGGGCCGTACCTTCCAATAATGTCTGCGAAGACAGGCTCATTAGAATCATTTCCCACATCTTTTTTACTATTTTTTTTTATCCAATGCAAATTTAATATATATTTTTTTGTAATTTTTTGTTTTTAGAACCGAAAGCTTCGTACTATTTCTGTCTATAATATAATATACTGTATAGTTATTTTCTTTTCAATATATTTAATATTTGTATTGCATCAACTGCCAAATTTTTTAATAAATTTATTATGAAAAGAGAATCATAAAGCACGAAATGTGAATTTTAAGCCACTAAATCTTCCTTTCACGCCTATTCATTCGCAATATTTTTTATTATCAAAGTACCTTCATAATACCTCAAATACTTTAACTTGGCGTGTGCCTAAAAACTAGAACCCTTTCCCTTACGGACGATTGGGTGTTTTTATTGTGCCATGGCCTTTATGGCGCTGGGACAGAGCGCTTATTGCGAGAAATTTTCAATATGCACAAAGTAATAGTGAAATAACTAATAACACATTGCAATATTAAAAACCGAAGGCGAGGAAAGTTCAATAGAGAAATATAAATTAACTAGTTAATAACCCGTCAAGAATGACGGGGTTGAGGGGTAATGAGTTTGTGTATATGGTACTATATATACTTTATTAATATATTATATAAAAATATTAAAATTTAGGCGAAAAAGAGGTAAATTTGTGAATAACACCTCATTAGATATTCTTAATTTCTGATATCTATCATCGAATAAGGGAGAAAAGTATGATGACCCGTCTTTTTAGAAGGGCAAAATGAAAAATATATAACTAAGAGTACCAGAGCTCCTGTTAGTCAGCATTGCTGAGTCCATCAAAAATGACGGAGAATGAGAATTTTCTCCTTACTCTTTTATGATAGTTGTTACCTGTTATTTGAAATTAATATCCAATTTTTATTCTTTATAACCCCCTCCCACCTTCAGGTAGGTCCAATCCATTAAAACTAAGTTTAAATGCTATGTTTTGAGTCAAAATATATTTAAAGCTTTTACTTGATACCCATTAGAGGTGGGAGCGGGCCGTGAAATTACGCGCCCACCGTGTCACGGTGGGTCACGGCGTGAATGTGAAGAAATTTTAAATTATTAGGCGTGACTGGGCGTGACGGGCCTTTCCAAAATTTTCCCCGTGCGTGAGTGGGCGTGAACACAAATTTCCATAAATCACGGAAATTTTAATTTTTAAAATTGTTTTTTATTAATATTAATTTGCAAATTTATAATTTTAAAAAATATATATTTTATTTATTATTTAATTTAATTTAGTTTTTTAAAAAAAAGATTAGTTTTTGAAAACAAAAAATCTTTCGCATTTTATAAACAACATCCGAGTAAACCTATTTTTACTTTTGCTAGCTTTTTCTTTTAAAATTTATATGTTCAAATTCAAATCAAATTTATCAACAAGCTTATTTACATGTATATAGTGATCTTCTTTCAAGTATTTTATTATTATATATATTATTTTACATTGAAAATGTAATTCTTCGCATTAAATTATAAATTTTAGTATTTACAAATGTCATTGAAAGTTTTTACTTTTTATTATTTGTAATAAATGCTTTAATGTAATGTATGAGTAGTGAAGGAGTAGAATTTATAATATTATATTAATATATAATAAGTATTTCTTTATTAACAATTAAACTCAAAGATCTAGAGTACTATTAGACCCAACAAAATACAACAACCAATGAAAAATAATAAATCGGAAATATGGTAATACATAAATTTAAATATGTTTTATTTTCATTTATCTTTATTATTTATACTAATCATTTTCACTCAAATTATAATGATTCGAAATTAATATAACACATTGTTTAAATTTTCTCATATTTACCAACAAATCTAACATACTCAATATAATTGTCATAAATAAAGTTGCATATTTGGATTATATATATATTTTAAAATATAGTTAACAAATATTTTAAAAATTTCAAACATTACTCATATAATTTAAAATCTTGTTGTTTTATTAATTTTGGTTTATACCTTTTTATTAATCAGGCTAAGGAAAATCACATGACATATTTTTCTAATATATTATTTAAATTTTAAACAAATGGTCTTAATTTTTTTACTATAATCTTTGGTATAAATAATTTTAGAAAAATACTTCATTCATTCTTCTTTATTTATTAAATAAATGATTTTAAGCGACCTTGAAGAGGAAAATCATACACAAAGCAGTGGAGAAGGAGATAATAATGTTAATAATAATAATGAAATAATTGAGATGGACATGATTTCAAAATCAGAGATGTTAACTAAAATAAGAAGGAAAGACATTGATATTGAATTTAAAGCTCCAGAAAACAGAAAAAGCAAGATATGGGATAATTTCTTAACAATTTATTATAAAGGTACCTTACAAAATTTTGTAAAATGTACAAGTTGCCAAAACGTGATATCATATAAATGTAAAACAGGTACTGCCAGTTTATTATGACATAAATGTGTCATAAAAAATACAAAAAAACATTCTGATCAGACAATATATAATATGTTTAAAAGACAAATGTCAGATTAATCAAAAGCAGTTTTACAAAAAAATCAGTTATATTTTATATGTAAAGATCTACGACCTTTAAATGCTACAGAAAGTGAAGGATTTTATAAGCTTGGCCAAGAGTTAATTAATGTTGGTGTTACATATGGACAACAAAATATAAAAGATATACTTGTTAGTCGAAAAACTCTTATGAATTCAGTAGCTCCAAAAATATATGAAGAAATTAAAATTATGATAATAAGCTTGATCAAAAACAATTACTCGTCCATAACCACCGACTTTTGGACAGATGAGTATAAAAATCGTAGTTTTTTAACTATTACTCGGCGGATTTTGAATTAAAATCATTTGTTTTGGCTACAAGGGTAATGGATGAAAAAAAAACAGGAGTCAATATCAAAATTATAGTAAATTCAATTTTGGAAGAATACACAGACATAAATTATTTAAGTAAATGTATAGTGGTAACTGATAACGGGGCAAACCTAATATGTGCATTTAAAGATGATGAAAGGCTACCCTGCATATGCCATATATTAAACAACAATATGCATTACATTTTTGATAATTGTTTGGATGAAATAGCTGTAAATATAAATGGTGTTAAAAAAATAGTACAGTATTTCAAACAATCAACAGCTAACAGCAAACTAGGCTACACTCTTAAACAAGATGTGATAACTAGATGGAACTCTGTATATATCATGATACAGAGTTTCTTAAAATCATATTCCGAAATTCAGGTGTACTTGCTTAGCAAGCAAGAATTAAATCGACTAGCCACTGTTGATATTACCATCTTACGGCAGTTAGAATTTTTTTTATCAATATTTAAAGAATGCTCGGAAAATCTGAGTGCCGATTCTCATCCCACAATAAATGAAGTTTATCTGTGGAGACAAAAATTATTAAAGTTTTGTCAACCCTCTGAAGGGGATACAACAATAATAGAAGCCTTAAAAATCAGGACTGGATGTCTTTTAAAAGAAAGATTCATAATGCAGCCCCTACATAAAGTAGGCTTAATTTTGGATTTCAAAAGCCTTAAGTTTTTATCTGAAGAAGAAAAAAACGATATATATAAAACTATCATAAAAATGCTAAATGTCATAAAATATGATATGAATAAGTCAATGCCAAAGCCAACTATTAGCTGTCATAATTCATCCTACACTCACAAGAAACCTAATATTAAATAAAACATTTAGAGAATTTCTAGATGATACTGATGAACCCTCACCATCTATCGAAGAAAGCTGCAAGGATGAACTTAAAAGATTCATCGCTCAGAAGACAAATAATAATGATAGTATTTTGAAGTTTTGGAAGCATGAAAATTCGTTTCCTTGTTTGAAAAAATTAGCGAGTAAAATTTTATCCGCCCCTGCAAGTTCGGCATCTAGTGAAAGATTGTTTTCTGTAGCCAATCGCTTGTTGGAGGAAAGGCGTACTCAATTAAAATCAAAAAACATGGATATTATTCTTTTTTTAAATAAAAATTTCGATTTATAAATTGTATTTATTTTTTGTTATGGAATTATAGAAATAAATAGAATAAATTCAAAAAAGTATATAATTATAGGTTACCAATTTTGAAAAATATAAAAACACCGTGAATTTTCGGGCGTGACGTGCGTGAATCAAAATATTGCCTTTCGTGAGCGGGCGGGTCGGGTCAAAAATTTTTTAGTGGTAAGCGTGAGTGGGCTTTATTACCACCGTGAGTGGGCGGGCCGTGAATAAAAAATTAGGCCCGCGCC